CAAATTTTTAAACATAATGGACCATTACTTTATACAAATTAAAACATTTTACAGCTACAGTGGATAATATTCTCTTCTGATAACAAATTGATATTATCTCTCTTTATAAAATGCTTCTTCTTTTACAAATATCAAAACAGATCGCTTTGATGGTACCGCTGAGTTTTTGCACCACCTTGGTAACGTTGCATTCGTGATGAAGGCAAAATTTGAAGGAAGAAAAGTGTATTAATATTATTAACCTAAGCAAACCGGCCTTAAATTCTCGAAACTAATACTCGAGATGGTTATTATGCACGGGAATAAAATGCGAATTTTCCGCTGTGTTGATATTAAAGTTTGCACAATCTATACTAACTAGGTTTTGTTTAATTGTCTTTAAATTCCCTACCGTATGCCGTTGTATACAAACTTTTATTTATGGCACAAGGTGCTATCCAATGACGTCACTCAACTTTGAGGAACTTGCTTTAAAGTAGCCGTTACTGTTGGCAAGTTGAAACAGCAGTTCTTCGTTTATCACAATGAATTTTAACGTCAGTTTATTCATCTGCAGCCACGTTCTTGTTTAGAATTTTTTTCACTTAAAGTAAACGTGGTAAACTCTTATCGCTACTAGATAAACGTTCAGAAAACAAAATTTTAGCGCACCTCAAATGGTATGTAACCTAATTAGCTGCAAATAATGGCATTATGCAAAAATAAGATTCTCACACGCCAATAGTATGTGCTAACTTTTACAAAGTTTAACCTCTTCCGCCCAAAACTCCCTTACAATCCAGGATCTTTCTTCGCTTTTCTTGAATCTCACACTTTTATTTAAAACGTGCAGATTGTTATCGTCTTTTAATTCTAAACATACTTTTTTCACGATTGCTATCAAGCGGTATATGTGTAAATTTTCCTATGTGGAACCAAATTGAAATTTAAAAATTGACGGATTATGGTATAGCTATAGGACCTGCTGTCTATATTTCGTGTTGTTGTTTCTTGATACCTTTCTTCGCATTGGTCATTTTCCTGCGATAGACAGCTACCATGACTCGGGCTGGACAGGGAAGGTATTTCTTGAAAACCTCGCTGTCCAGGTATCGTGGCGAATGGGCAGGTCTTTGTTTCTATCGCTGTTCCATTGAACATTAAAATCGATGCCCCTTGGTTTGTCTCAATTTGGGAAATTGTCTCGTTCGGACTCACCGGAGCTGCCACTAACAGGGCGACCGACGTGTGGGCGCTTGTAGAATTTTTGGGCGTAGTAATCATGTCCTGGCTCTTGTTGCAAGTCCATGATCTGTGAGTGGCATTGTCAGAACGTTGCTATTTTGGGCACTTAAGCTAACTTCAAAATGTAGCACTTCAGTAGGACCGGAACCCTTGTAGTAACGCGGCACCCATTCTTTGAACGACTCTAAGAACCAAATGTCGCATTAGGGTTGTGAGGTTGTCAGCGTTTACATTCTATTTATATATCATACACAGTAGGTGTGTTCTAAATGAACAACGAGAAATTCACTTATCTAACACTTATTGATCGTTACTTTTAGTTGATAAGTAGAATGATTATTTGTGGCTTCGAAGGATTGAAATGACAAGGTCGTAGGCATAATTCTTCCTTTTTTGCTTTGAGCATGATTAATGGTTGTAGTTTCGCAATTTTTCTTCATGTTATATTCATTTCATTACCTGCTCAACACGTGGAAAGTAGAAGTTTGCGCTGAAAGTTTCGCTCGTGGTGTAAAGCTCTACTGCTAATGATGAGGTGACGCACCCTCAAATCTCATGTTATCACCTACGTCTCACTTAATATAGGGGACGCCCTTCGTTAGTCGCGGTAAGATGTGCGAGTCAACGCGAGTTCACAAAGGTTTCACGTGCGGTTTTATCCCTCATTAGAACTGCTCATGAAAATAAATGGAAGCAACTAATAAAAAATTTCGCAACTGTCATCCTCAGCGGTCTAATCCATAAGTAGTATCTACTGAAAATTTCAACTAATGGATTTTTATTGCAGTGCGTGTCTTCAAGAGATTCTAAAAAGGTTTTATGCATGTAAACCCCATCGCACATTTCTTCTTATGTGTGTTTTGAGACTTGGTCGATAGTCTTACTTCCTTTCGTGGCTCGAATACGATATTTACATCACATGAGTACAAAGCACATCTGAAAGGTTATTACTGAAAAGTGGTTTTTCTGTGCGGGTGAAAGCTATACTTTTGCCATGCTAAGTAATTTAACGGCAACAATTCTATGCTACGAAAGCTATAAGATAAACATGTCTCTGAGCAAATGACCTACACCGAGTGTTCAGTTAATGCATTTACTTGATTTTATGACGGTTGAATATTTTGGGTTTGTATTGTTAGGTACATCGAAAGATTCTCAAATTTTCCGCCACATACACGTAATAAAAATCAAAACGTTAAGAAATAGATACACAAGTAAGTAGACAAAGAAATGAAGAATGATAAATGGTTCATAGTAAATGATTGATCCATCTCCAACTTGATGCAAACACTCATTGAGAAAGTGTGGGGTATGGGGTTAGAGTCGAAAGGTTTTATCACAAAGTTCTATGTTGCCGGCTCAAACAAAACGTCACGCTGCTTTTCATGACTATTATTGGTGTACACTCCCTAGGGATGCGTGTATTAATGTTTGCACAGACAAAATTCAACCCACACGCCAATAGAACAAACGGGTGCGCTCATTACTTGTTAATTACAATGAATTAATTGTCAAATACAGCGTAATTGTGTATAAAACCACCACTCGAAACTCATGAATTTGATGCGTTTGGTAATGACGAATTCCTTTATCTACACTATACCATTCGCCCTGAAACCAGAGAACTGTAAATAATTATTTATAAAATGATTACAATCATCACGGTGCGTTAAATAAATATTTAACGAGATGAATGGTCTTGTGCGACTGATAGCAAGATTTGCGCCACCTTACACCTAAATGAGTTTTATAAAATACTCTTGTTACAGATTCCTTTATTGGTGGGATTGTATCCTGTTTACATCTTTGTTTTTTCGGGTCTTCATAAAAAATGGTAAACGTTGTGCGCAGCTTCCCTAATTTAATGATCGCTAAGTGCTCGTAATCGTCATGCAAACAAGTTAGTGAAATGAATTACAAGCGAGATCACAGCTAGGAAAACCTTGATCCAGCTGTCAGATTTATTTCAGACCTTTCGGACGTCGGTTCAATCTTACGGTCACTATTAACCACAACAGAGGAGTCAGCGGTAACATTTAAATAAACCTATTGGTTTGACGTGATGTAGGACTGAAGAAAATTACTATTGTCTAACTAACAGTTAGCTTCCATGGAAGCATAAATTCACACAGGATAATATGTGTAACTGTCATATAATAAATAAAACTAACAGAAAACAAAAGGAGATAATTAAATTCGATTCAGACATAACACGGTAAATGTTGCCAATACTGAATTTGATTTTAAATTTACTATACAAACATTGCTAACCTTTGCTTTCTTGAACGAGTATTAGATATTATGTGAGAAAAATACGTATGACATGATTATTAACATTTTTTTTCACTTATAAAGTTAGCTTTTTCGGCAGGTTTATAAAATGTTTAATAATGACATCGTTATTAGCCGGTAGTCAATAATGAGAACTGTTACGCTCCGCAACCTGAAATTTCGCACAATAAACGTTTAGAAAAGTTGTCCAAAATCAATATCTGCAATTTCCTTCATTTCCAGAGATAAAACTGTCACATTTTGAAATGATTCAAACCGAATTACTCTTTGAAAGTATATTAATGATAGAACAAAATACTGCTTGCTTGACTTTTACTTCCACGCACGCGATGGACATGTAAAATTAATAAACAAAAAATTCTGCCAAACCGTTCGCTTTCTTAACAATATAATCAATAATTTAGAGGACTTAAGTACTTGTAGTGAAAAAAAAATATATATCACGTTGTAGAAGTCTGAGATACTTCAGTTCAACTTTACCCCAGCAGACATTAAACACTTGTTCCAAGACTTCCAAATGTTTATCGAAGGTACGTGTAGAGATTACGATGTCATCAAGGTAAGCAAAACAATACGGTTCCAAATCAGCATCTAAAAGACGATCAATTAGCCTGTAAAATGTGGCTGGATAATTCCGCAAGCCAAATGGCATTCTAGTTAATTGGAAGAATCTGCGACCTGGGACAGTAAGAGCACTTAATGGGCTGGATTGTCTCGATGGAACAGGCCGTATGTCTAATTTAGATAAATATTGAGCGTCACGTAAATTATGTAAAATAGAACTTATGTATGGAACAACGTTCGCGTCTTCTCCTGTCACAGCGTTTACTTTCCGTATCTAATATCCTTCTATTTAACGAGCACAATAGGACTAGAGCATATACTAGTGGAAGGTTCAACAACCCCCAATTCCAACATTGCATCTAACACAGCCTCTGGGGTAGGAAAGGGTATCGCTGTTTGACTGATTCAAATAACATTTTAATTTGATGTTCGACTCATGTAGTACAGCGCAATTACGTTTAAGAAAACCCTAGATCTGATTAAAGTGAAGTTTGTTCAGATAAAAAACATCAGCGAATGCAGTTAAATGTTCCGAAGAAATAGTGTTTAGAAAGAGACTATTAGCGTACATACACTGGCAAATTCAAAATCTAAAAGAAAACTTTGTTTATGGGGAATGACAAAAAAAGTATCCCAGATTAAAGTTCATAAAAAATCTTCCCCTCGGTTAAGAGGCACTCTCACCTCTCCGTTCCAGACTCCCCTTAAATTTATTTGTTCCATTTTTAGAGAACCGGTTACTTCCGAGCGAAGGGTTCATTTCAATGTAAATGCAGAAGAATTTTGAATCTTCCTGTTTATGTACTATGTACAGAACAATTTACACCTCTGGTTGGGTTATCTCCTGTTTAGTCACAGCTCAATTATTTTTCCATGTGGGACTTTTTCAATGAGTTAACAAAGTGTTCTTTTATTTCCAGGCCGTCTTCGAACGACTCGTGGACATCATATGCGATAAAATGTCAGATAGCTTAGATGCTGATCCAACACTAGGAAGCGCAGGTATAATGCCAACTCGTCTAAGTAACGCACCCCAGGGTGCACAGGCTGCCAACTGTAACTGCTAATAACCCCATAAAAGAATTTACAATCCCACCACGACATACAATATTCTGAATTCATTCATACCTTTAACTACCTGTTGATATTGACCACGCTTAATATACTGGTAAACCTAATAATTGTAAAAAAATGTAATAACAAAAATTGCTTTCTTTGGTATAAAAACTAGACTGACATTGTGAAATGCGCCGTCGCGCGCAGAAGCTTAACTGTTTTCTCGTTTTAAGAATGGACGTTGTTGTAATTTATGTTCAAATTAGATGTACGTGGAGTTTTGTAGTTCAGGAGTCACATGAAGACGAGATTTTGCTTATCCTTAAATGTTTAAATTCCAAAACTACATAATAAGTAAGTAGCACAAGTTACTACGTTAATTCGGTTAATATGTAAAAGACGCCACTGAGCTCAACACGTGGTGGCTTGCCTCTAGAAAATTCATCTCGATATTTTCATGTGTGATTTTTACCATATCTGGCCTATGTTACTGATATATCATGTTATGGGTTTAAAGTACCTTCTAAGATAATATAGTGAATGCTTTATTGTACCATTAATTAATAACACGTTACATTAACCAATTTAAATCTGGTATGTATTACGGACTAGGCAAAAAGTTACAATATGTGTGAATTTGTAAATATAGGAATTGTATGTATAGGCAGTTAAGTTTAGAAAATTCTGTTTATTTTTGTTACGTTGTAAAAATCCCTGTTAATAGCCGCTTAGTAGTTATATAAGTCTGGTATCAACAACGTGACATTGTATATTTATAAGTATGTGAAACATTACCAAAACCATAAGAAACAGCGCAAGTGTAGCAATTCATTCTTTTGTCTGGAGCACTTCCTCATGTGAGAAAAGGGGGTGCTTTCAACAGTGTTCCCACACCTTATCAGTTCTATACAGCCCTTGGACTATAACTAGATCTAGCCTAATGTACCTTTAATGTTCTTAAGTCAGCTGGAGTATTGTCAATTAACTTTACTTAGTGCCGTAGATTGTGTGAACAAATCATTGTTGGTTTAGTAACTTTAATTATAATGAAAAGATCCACAAAGTCATTATCTTCTACATGTTTTAATATCCAGCTGAAGATCTGTTACACGAATCTGTGCCTCACATAAGTTGCCATGGAGTGACCGTGACTTTGGATAGGACTACATCCAAAATGGAAGATCGCACATTTACATCCTTCTCAATGATTGACGTTAAATGTTTTTGTCGTTGAGCAATTTCGATTACGATGTTAAATATCTTTAGAAAAGATCGTGTGCTTTTCAAAGGAAAGTAAAACGTATGTTATGTTATGAATGGAATGTACAATACTAAATATTATTTTGTGAATTAGTGTATCAGAATAAATAACGTAATGTCAAAAGGACTTGTGGCCTTGATGTTTAGCACCTTCGCATTCTGTAAATGTGATGTAGGAACCGCTCTTGATTTCCGATGAATACTTTGGGCACATGTAGTTTTCCACAGTCCTGAAGCAATTTCTATTACTGAACGATTACGAAACCATCCCCTTACTTACTTGGGATTTTTCATCGAAACTTGCTGTATGTTAACTTTATTGACATACATTGATGTTTTGCAAAAGAAACAGATGGCGTTGCCGTTGTGAATCCACTTGAGCCGCACCTCTATAATATGAGTCACTACTGGAGGTTTGGCGTAGTATATCATGACGTATGGTGATGCTGCTTTAAAACTTGCTGGAGAACTGGAATTATATTCGTTAAGCCATCAGCGAAATTGGTTTACATACCTACCCACAGTTACTGGCATATGCAGTCGTCAAAATTCCATTTTCGCCAATCATTATCATTTCAAAGTTTCCATTCTGCTGCGAGGTTCCCGATCGGTCGTCAAAGACCATTTCTACTCGGTACGAGTACACTACGACAAACCAATTAATTTTAGATACCTCTCTTGTTTCCGTGTTACGAGAACCAAAGAAGTTTCTACGGGCGACGGTATAAATGCTTATATTGAAATCACAGTTATTCTATAGTTCAATAGGAACCTTACAAAGAGACTGTTACAAGTAGTTGAAAATTATGACCCATCAAAAAGGTTTTTGACTCCTGTGATGCTCACCTAAAAAATTTAAAGGGTGACTCAGTTCAATAAGAGGGTAAAAACCCTTCTATTCGAAGATACGGAAAGAACCCAATCCAACAGTTTCAAAAACAACATAAACTATTTGTAGATGGTGGAACAATTCGCTTCTCTCCAGCTCAATTGGTACGATACTGTTGCAGGGAATTCCACTGCAGTTTTTGCACCTCGACCCTGACCCTCCTATATGTGCAGTAGTTTTTGCAATTACAATGGATGAGATAAACCTTTCTGTATATGGAGTTTCCCAACCACCCCTGGATTTGGTTGTGCACTCGCAGTGAATGAAGGCCAGCAGCGTCCCTTGGCAATATTGGAATGTTGAATTTAGCACGGCTCGTGACATACAGTTGCATTTGAATGGCAGATTTTGTGCTTGGTGGCTTGAGATTTGAAAAATATCGAAGCATGTTTTTTTACGTAATGGGTCTTCTCCAAAAGGGTGCAGAGCTTTCATTTCATCGAACTGGGGGGATGATAACGAATACATCCAATCCTCTTTGCCACCTATACTTGGTTTCTGGAAGTCCAATTTCATATTTGAAATGAAGGCCTCTACACATCAAAACAAGTACACCCACATCCTTAGTGCTGAGACGACACTGTGAACCGTTGACAGTTGAGTCAACGCAGTGGTTGCAATGAAGACATCTGCATCTTCTACAGCATGGTATGTTTGAAATGATACTGCTTCCAAAGGTGTTGGTTAGCTCTTATTTCTGTCATTCCCTAGGAAATTTTGTTGGGCATGGTATTCAATTGGAAATTACGACAGTCGAAGTCTTCGTCTTACATCGTCAAATCCTTTCTGAGCTCTTGGTTCCAACAATGGTGAGCAATATTTATTTTATTAATCTTCTCAAACCAACAGTACTAATTGCATATTAAGGTTTGAGGAATATGGCCGGTATTACTGCTTGGATGTTTAGGAGGAACTGAGTAAGGGTGGGTGGGTATTGTGTTTCGTAGACAACAGAACGAATATGCTCGAGAACGGTTTCTCCAACAGCTTTTATGATAAAGAGCGTGTCTGCCTTTTTGTCACCATAGAAAGCGTTTCAACAATTTTGCATCCCACATTTTTGAAAAAAATCAAAGCAGGTCGATTTTCTTTCCGAACAACCAAGCCATCGTCATCATATTTTTGTAACAGCCTCGACTTTACTGTTTAACATCTTTCGGCCGATCCTCCTCTTCTACTTGATCCAGAAGGTCGGGTAGATAGAATTGACATTCGTCTGAGTTAGCTCCAAAGGTATGAGTATATTACTCGCATGACCCTGTCAATTGTAGCCGCAGGTCAACGACTTGTCTGACTTGAGCCAACACGTCTCTTTTAAATCCGTTTACAGCAGATGTCAAGAGCAACCAAATCAAACTGAAGATCTTTCAATTGCTCCACTATTTTTTGACCCCATTCATCTTCTATACGAGTAGATAAGTTCAAAAAATTCTGCCTTGGTGTGAGTTTCTCACCTTGCTTGAATGATACTTGGGATTTTGGCGGTTTTTCTCATGTCGTTTTGAAAAAGATCTGTGAGCTTCTCACCACATAAAAGTCAATGATCTCGAAAGTTAAAAGGCTCTGATATTCTTTTTTTTATGAAATACACCGTTGCACTAATTTGTAATCGCACTTGAAACACAAAAAAGTAAATAAAATATCTGAATTCACATGGTAAGTACAGCTGAAGCTCAACTGACGAACTAAACTTGTCAGAACTCAGTAGAGAAGCTAATGTCCCCGTCCGCCCCTTCAACCAGTACATGAAGTTGAAAATGAAAGGATTTTTGACCGATGTACTTCTTTACAATTTTTCTTTTATGGGTTTTTTTCATTTGGATGAATACTTTCTAGTCGAAATATAACGTTAGATGCAACCCTCCAGAATTTAGTACTATAAAATTTTCAGACAGATAGACCTGTTATAAGCAAAAAACCGAAACGGTTGCCAAAATTTCGAGGTTTCCTTGGCATATACAAAAATAAAATCTTTTCTCTTTGGCCAATTCGTCCAATTTTGGACATAGGCTTTCGCTATTTTTTTCCCTTCGCTTCTATTTTGTGCTTTTTGTTTCCAGTGTGTTCCTCCAATCATTCTGATGTCGTGTCCCCACCTCATCTGGGGTGGTCTCTTGCTTTCGTATCCATGGTTTCCATTGTTGTACTATGGTATTCCATCTATTGTCTTCTTGTCGGGCGGTTGCCAAAATTTCGAGGTTTTTCGGACACCAAAGGTTTCCTTGACATAAAAAAATAAAATCCTTACCGAAAATTAATGCAAGGTCGATTTCTCTCATCGTCTTTCTACAGCGTAAATTACCGGAATATTCTCACAATTTCCACAATTACTTTGGATAGAATTTTACACTTCCCGGGGAAAATGTACATTTGGGCGAGTTTCCTTAGGGGTGAAAGTACCGGGAGAGGCCGCTCTTCGACGCGATTCCAAAGTTAGCTTTTACGTGACTGCACACCATTCCCTTCTCAATCTTCCATAGGTGAAAAACACAATTCCCTTCTCAATCTTCCTTAGGTGAAAAACACAATTTATATTGGTAGAAGTTCTGTTCAACACTAGGGGTCATAACGGCAAATCATCACTACGGCATCATTTAAGTGTCAGTTTTTTAACGTGAGAAAGGCGAAAGTGACTGCAGACAACAAAAGGCGAATCCTAAGTGTTGAGCGCGAGAAGGAGAATATGAAAACTCACGATTCTGAATGAAACAAGCAACTAGAGCTAGACGATTAACTAAAATCTGTGAGTATTTTTATTATTTTGATTTTTCAAACTGATTTCAGATGAAAACCCAACTGAAAAGGACTTGAAAAGACCCCGCAGAAGTCGCAGGTCAAAAACAAGTACATATAAATTAGGGAAATATACATACGGACCTCTATCGAGAATTTTAACAGGGAAAAAACTTAGGGGTTTGGTCGAACCGAACCTACTCACGAAGATTCAGCCTGTTGTTAATCACTAAAAAAACAGACAAAGGCCGTTGGAGTTTTAGACCTTAAATATATGATGGGTTGCTAGTGATGATAAAATACGTAGTTGCGTTTTCTATGCACAGTTTGAAATGGGGCATAGATTCTCTAGTGACAATCTCTACCCAATTTTTTGGTTTAATTTAAGGAGTGTTTAACGTACTGCAATATGGTGACGTTCCAGCTGTGTGCAGAAAGTAATTGGAGGGTTTTTTATCGCTTTCAACTTCATTTGGCCCAAACTTCGCGCAAGTCCCATGTTCACGCTCACACTCTGTGCACTTCCCCTGTAATAATGCGTGTTAGGCGAACAAAACGTGTCAAAAAATTTGAACACCTCCTGGAACTCCTCGTAACTATTACACTGGAATCCAATGTACTCACAGTCTTCTTGATTCGCTGCTTCAATGAAATACTTAAAGGATCTCTTGTGGCTGCAGGCCGGTAGAATATCTCCCTCCTTTAGAGAATTTCTGTCCAATTTGTGTAGCGGCGGAAAGGACGAGGTGTCGTTACAGTGAGGTTGGTGTTCAGCTCCGTTGATGAAAAAATCGACGTGGCCCATTGAAGTCTGCGTACCTTGACTTCTACCTTCAAAACGGAAAGCTATAACTTTCGTGCACTTTAAAATGCAATACCTGAAAACCCGTCGGTATGGAGAACCTCCACGAATTTCGCGTCCGATTCATCTAGTCTAACAACTGCCGGCATATGCTCAAAGTAGGGCCCCGTGGGGTCTAAACCTGTGTGGTAGTGTTAATGCATTGGTTAGTTACTCCCGTGAAACTTGCCGGTAATTTTGTCCACAGCATGGGAGTGACCAACGTAACCGGCAATGTGCGCACCTAAACCGTGACCAATTAAATAAACTCGTTGATTGCTCCCCTGTTAGTAAATCGTGATTACTCTACAAAAAATGCGATTGTTAAACCTTCAGTGATTTTAGCAGAGAAATAGCTTCAAGTGCAACAACTCTCGCGTTTGAAACTGCTTGTTCAAAGGGTGGTTCCGCGCCCGCTTGCCAATCGACCGATATTATGCTAGGGCTACTACTTTGTAATAAAGTTGATGCTATATGCTGGAAAATTTTGCACTGTTGAAATAATTTACAAATAAAAAGCGTACCTTAATCCATCCAGTACGTCCATTACTTGTGAAATCGTGTATCAAAACAATCAAGTTTGGATGTTTTCCACATTCAGAAAAAGACAAATCAGAGCCATTCTTGGTATTCACAAGATCAAATTTTAAAGTACCCTAAAATATTACGAAACTTATTGAATGATACATGTAAAGTAGGTACTCTACTGTCGTATCTGATGGCTTGGTAATGAAATGGAATTCGGTCTTTATGGTATGGCGATCTAGTGGTTCTAAATTCTTCGGTCTATACGTGTGATGGTACCACTCTTCGGTAGTACTTATACAACCTAAATTCTCAAAACAGCTTGTGTACTTATCTAGAAAGCAAATTGAGCGGCTTGCTGAATGGAAAATACTTGCCAAACTGGAAGGTTTGCCGTGATGTGCTGTGAGTTTCTCTATCTGTTCTGAAAAGTTGAAGAAATCTGCTGGAGTTATATTACACATTACAAGGTAAAGCAGGATTTCTGTCCACATTTACTTTGCGAATTTGGCACTTCATGACTTTATTGTGACAAACGACTGCTTGATTTTTGATCACTTAGCGAAGTACTGCAGTACCTTTGCTCCAAAAACAGTACCCATTTTGGTAATGGTAAAACCTCATCTGCTTACTGGTATGGTAACGAAGACGGAGACGACTACTTCGGACTAATTTTCTTTCTTTTGCGGTCCCGATTCCACGATTCCCTTTCCAGATTGATATGAAGTCACCTCTTTTAACGTTTTCTTGTAGCTACTTAAGCGCAAGGTATTGCAATGATTGTCTTGTTTATTGCAATTCAGTATTTGGCAGTATTTTTCAGAATTCATTTGCTACCTTTATGGAAGCGCACAGTCTGTTGTGACCACTTTAATTACTATTTTAAAGGATACGTTTTCTTGCAGATTTCCTGTTCGTAAAGTAAATACCGGAGTAGTATAGAACAACTTAAGACCTTCTGCAGATGCACCTCTAAAAAGCAAGCCTGTTGAGGGCCTAGAACAAGAGAGAGAAGTTTAAGCGATTGTCACTATTATCTACAGTATAGCAAAAAGCTTTTAGTAAAAATTTGAAGTCTCTAGCTATTATAATTGCTGAGATATTAGCCGGACAGCCAGCCAGTCATAACGAATATAATAACCTATTTTTTTCAAAAATGGCTGAAAATTGCTGAATTTTTTTTTGAGTTCAATTATAATTCATAAAAAATGTACAAATTTATTCAAGAAATAAACTTCCGTGGGTCGATCTCTTCAGGAATGTTAAATTGACCTTGAGCATAAAGTTTTTTTTTATACAAAATCCCCAAAACGATCGACTCCTATTTTTAGACAATGCAAAAATTTCAAATAGCTTACATTTATGGATGACTTGAAATTTTCTCCAATTCACAGTTGATTTTCTCCTTTTGAAAAGTAGCCGAAATTCAGAAAATTGCATTGTGGAGCGGTTTGTCCTGAGCAAAACAATCGGACCTATTGTATCGCATGGTTTTGAAAGATGATTGATGATTTGTATCAGGAACTAACTGGGCTTCAGGTTTCTCGGCATATAATAGAACTTTTGTTTATTTACTGCATTAATTTATCAATATGTTCCGTATTCAGGAAATGTCATAAGCAACCCTTATAACTTAGGGTTTTAACAACCAGTAAAAGCGCGAAGGAATCGTCTTTAAACTTTTTACCGGTTACTATTTTATTTAGGCTGCCCTTGTATACACAAAAGAGGTGTACCAATTTAATTAGTAAAGTTCTCTATTGTAACTTGTATTGTATTGTAATTGCCCAAAAATATCGCAATGAAACGTTCTGTACACTAAGCACTTTCTTGGTAACTGTTTATTTAAACGTGATCACGATGCTCCAATAATGCGGACCCGGACAGTTTGGCGCGGCCTCTTTGGCGCGGCCACTTGGGCGCGGCTCCTTTGGCGCCGGGACACTTCGGCGCTGGGACACCTCGGCGCCGGGACACCTCGGCGCCGGGACACTTCGGCGCGGGGACACTTTGGCGCAGAAACATGTGGGTTGTGAGGGAGACATTTAGGCGGTGTGGTGTGGATTGAATGAATAACCTGAACACATTTTCAGCAATTTGGCAAATTTTTAATGCATCGTTTGATCCGTACAACAATCCTCCCTTTAAACTTTTATTCGTGGAAAATCAGCATATTATTTAAAAATTTATCGACAGAGTAAATGTTGATACGCACAAGTTAACCTAAGTTTATTGGTTTATTCTCAACAGAAATTTATCTGTTCACTAATTCGAGCTAATCACGAGAATGATTAATGAACGGAACATCTAAAATAACAGCTTATTTCATTATATTGCATAAATCATCTCAGCGATTTTGCCCCGCAGTGCATTGTGTGTGGCATACTGTGTCGACAACACCTTAGATACGTCTTTGAATATAAAATTAGGAAGAAGTCTAGCCTAATGTACGGAAGCGCTGAAGGACCATCAAACTTTTTTTTTTATCTTGAACGGTCGACTTTTTATCTTGAACGGTCGACTTTTTATCTCGACCGGCCGACTTTTTATCTCGACCGGTCGACTTTTTATCTCGACCGGTCGACTTTTTATCTCGACCGGCCGACTTTTTATCTCGACCGGTCGACTTTTTATCTCGACCGGTCGACTTTTTATCTCGACCGGCCGACTTTTTATCTCGAACGGTCGACTTTTTATCTCGAGCGGTCGACTTTTTATTTCGACCGGTCGGCTTACTATCTCGCCTCGCCCGATTGGCTTTATTGCTTGCTTGTATTTTGCTCTTTTAATGTGTTATTTTTTAGCAAAGAGAAAACGCTTTAGTAGTCATCATTTAACACTGTGTATTGTAGTGAGTTATTGTTAATTGTGCTACACAATTTTGCAGGTAAGACCATGTACAGTGTATAGCCTAATGAAAATGTTTACCACGAGTGATGAACATTATTGCATATCTCATTCGGTCATTCTCAGCTAAAAGTAACAACGAACAATGAACGTAGCTGTGCGATACGTAGGTATATTGCGCAGGGTACCTATACTTACGCGTCGCATTATGCTTATATTATACTTATTCATTTAAATAATCCATTAGCAGTATTTCGTTTATGCATTTACTTCTCTAATCGGTTGTCGTGGTTTTATACAGAAATTTGCGGAATTACTGTGCTGAGGTAAAATGGAAGATTTTTTACGTAGCAGAGGTATTCCAGAGGAAAAAATATCTAGAATGTTAGAAGAAAAGGTAAGATAATCGGTTGCTAGTAATCATTTATTATTTTAATGAAAAATTGTTTATAGATTACTCCGGATGTGGTATTATTAATGAACGATACCAAATTAGCAGAATTCGTACCAAAATATGGTGACCGTATTGCATTAATGCAGTATTGCAAAGCACAATTGGATTCGACCCGTTTAATGACTGATAAAAAAGAAAGTCTGTTAGAGAGTTTAAGGCAAAAGCTGAAGGGAGGCGGTAATAGCAGTCCAAAGAGGTGTAAAGGTCATCCTCAAGACGTTAAGCAAATTGAGGTAGGATGGTTATGCCACATGAATCTGGATGGCAAATATAAACAAGTACGGGAGAAGGGAGGTGGCGGTACAAGAAAAATGAAGGTGCCTAAGGAAGCAAACAAGGACTTTATCTTAACGAAGGCTCTAGATTTGTTTTTCCCGAACGGGCATTCTTCAAAAGGAGATTTAAGTAAATTTGACATAAATTTATTTGATTTCCAAAATCACGAAGTTGATAAAGATTCAACAGTAGCTGAACTATTGGAAAAAACTGGTTTGTCTAAACTAAGATTTTATCTTGCAACTAGAGAAACTGTAGTAGAAACTGTTGAAGATGTAGTTGAGATTTTAGAGGTAGGTAATGCCATTGAATAAAAACAATAACCAATGAACACATCTAGACTCAGCACATGTTGATTTCTTAATATACTATTATTATTTACAGCCTGATCATCCCACCATAAATGAGCCAGTGGATACCAATAAGGGTACGCTTGACACTATAGTCGAGTATACATTACAGCAGTTTCCAGATGAAAACCATAGTAACGTAAGAAAATAACTACACGTTTTATTGAACAAATCTTAATGTTATGGCAGTATAACGGCTTTCCCTAAAATTCATCGCTAGCGCTTGGATATCAACCTAGCACGTACGGCTTTTATATGGCCATAACACAATAATACTATATTAATACCATTCCGTACTCAATAGATATTATTTCAGGAAGATGTATCACTAGTGCAGCTTGATAATGAAGAAATACGTAAGTTGTGTCATATACTTTTAGTGTGTTTAATTTCTATATTAACATTAGGCATGGAAAGTGTTGATGTAACCCATTCCTTAAATTTCGAATTTAATGAATTAGTTGATAGTATTATACATGAATATAATGATCCACCTATAAATGAAGAACTGACTCCAGTTAGTACTAAAGGGTGCGAACCATATTGTACAGCGGTTGATATTTTATTGGACTTACAGCGAAAAATTTGCTATGATAAAATCAACAAGTTCAACATTTTCCGCAGTGATATTTTTGTTTGTTGTGTCCGTGCAATGCGCCGAAAAACGTTCAATCCCTTTTTCAAAACGTCTGTTAAATTTAGTGATATTGAGGGAACCACAGAAGGCGCAATAGACGAAGGGGGGCCCGCTAGAGAAATGTTCCGACTTGTTTTACTTTATTTACAAGACAGTCAATTATTCGTTGGTGAGAAGAAAAAATATATTTCTTTAAATAATAATTCACTAAACCAAAATTATTATTTTGAGGCTGGTAGAATTATAGCTTTAGCACTGGTACATGGTGGACCAGCACCTCATTTCTTCTCAGAAAGTTTATATTCGTTAATAGCATATGGTATAGAGGAAACTACACCTACTATAGAAGATGTTGAATCTGATATTAAAGATTTATTGGTTCGACTGGAACAGACTACAAATATCTTAGACTTACAAGAATTAATTGCATCTGACAATGCTTTTTCAATTGCTGGGTGCCATTATGTCACAAATCTTGACGAAAAATGTCGTATCGGTGAAGGTAAACTATTTGTCATATCTCAGTTATACTTAATGTAATATTATGTTTTAGATATGTTAAAGTTTTATGCAATAAAGCGAGTGGAGGAACCAATAAAGCAATTTATAGAAGGGTTAAAAACATGTGACATTTATAATCAAATTAGGGAGTATCCTCGTTTGTTTAAAGACATGTTTTGCAAAGATCAAATGATCCTCACAGGAGAAACATTAGAAAACATTTTTCAGATAGAATACAGTGATATAGGATCTACTCAACGTGATCTGGAAAATAGGGCAATGTCTTATTTTAGAGATTACATAGGAGATTGTGAAGGTAAGCTGTACCTACTGATCAAGAAAAATGAATATGAATTAGAAATTTCTAGAGACTTTGTTGGAGGACGATGCAGATGAAAATGAAGGCCAAGCGATTACATTAGCCGATATCTTAATATTTGCAACTGGTGCAGACTGTGTGCCGCCTTTAGGATTTCCAATCGTACCAAAAATTATGTTTTTACACGGCGAG